CCCTACAACAAAAATGTAGTTTATATATATAAATTTAGGGCTTGGAGTTATGTGGTTAGCTTTAAATACTTGCATGCAAACACTGCAAGGATTTTGATGGTGAACTCTGCGAAATAGTAGGATTTGGGCATGCTTTTGTGAAGTGTCTGAGTAGGAAAACTTCTTCCATTTAGCATAAACAGAAAGAATCCCTGGTTCTCATACCGTGTGCAGGTCATATTCATAAAACCCTTCCCAACAGTGATATATATTAGCAGTCTTTGTGTTAGATTTTTCATATTTGGACCCTGTGCTTCTTGCAGACAAGCAGACAGGAGCCAGGACTTGCAGATCCCTTCCCTGGGTAGGTTGAGAAGACTAGCATTGAATGTATTCATTTTAAGGCTATGAGAAAGTACAAATGAATTCAGTTATAGTGGAGTGAAGGTTTGGGGAGAAAGGGAAAAGACAAGTTAGTAATTAAAAACCATTTCAGTCATGTTTTTAGTTGTTTATTTTGTTATAAAAAGATCTGGCCTATGATAGATTGCTAGACAAATGCAAACTTGGGAACAAATCAGTTAAATAAGCAATAAGAATAAGCCATTTTTAAAATAAGTAAGCACCCATTAAGTGCCCTCTTCAGAGCTCACGTTTTACATTTTTGTATCATTGAAACTGACTTTATTTTAAAAGCTCTCACTCTTCTTTAACCAAACTTACACCAGGAATAAAGTTGTATAGTTGTATTACACATCCCTGCAGCCAGTAGCACTCATTCACAATAGTAATAGGAATGGTATAAAGCCCTAGGTCCAGATCATTCTTATCTCAGAAATATCAATTGGAAGAGTCACAGAGGAAAGAAATCTCTGCAAGAATCTACCTATCACATTATCCAGTTTCCCTTCCCCAAGAAAAGCCAGCAATGTCAACTTTAAAACATGATAGCTCCCTGGGTAGTCATGTGGATTCCTAAGAATCTTTAGGAAGCCAAAGTCATCTGCATGGAGACCCCTTGTCTCTCCATTGGATCTGGACACAATTGTACACTATCTGCTCCAGCTCCCTAGTAGTGTACCTCCATTACATTTAATGGCAAAGCATAATGTTTAAAGATATATATAGTATATACACATCCACAGAAGTCTAGGCCAATATACAAAACAAAAATAGAAATAAACATATTGAGTTCATTTTTAGACATCAAATAATTGTATTTTATTTTAAGATACCAATCAGATAACTATCAGAGAGGCATTTGCAGTGTGAAGCAAGTCACCTGATGAGCGTAGGCAGCATAAATACGAAAATGCAGTGGTACTGGATACTAATGACACAAGAATGCAATGAGATGAAAGTGATGTCTCACCCACTCCTTTTTGCAAATAGAAATTGATTTGGCACAACAGAGACTGCTGTAATATTACAGTGTCTTCTAAGAGTAATATTGTTGTGTCTTATTGTATTTTCTTTATACTGACCCTTTAAGGCCAAAGCCCTCATTTTCAGCACTGCAGGGTTCAGATTGCTTTGTGGCAGTTTTTGCAGCACTGGTGACTCCTTGTTCACTGGCATGAGGAGCCAGGGGGCATTTTCTTGGTTCTTCTCACTCACAAGGACTGGGTCAGGCCAAGGTCAGAGACAGAGCGAGTTTAAGTGTTGCATACATATACAGAGGGCGGTTGTTTAAGATCCACCCTGGATGTGATTCCAGAGAATTATAATAATAAATAACTGTTAGTTCAACACAGGAGTGTCCAGAGTATTAGTGCTAAACTCACAACTTATCAAGTATTGAATTGACAAACGTTCCATTAGGCTGCTAAAGCACATCATAATCCTTTTGCACCCTGAATCAAAGTTTCTGGAGCACAAATGCTAATTATCACTTCTAGCAGCATTTTCGGTACCCTAAAATTAGCACAAATGCTAATTATCACTTCTAGCAGCATTTTTTACCCCCCTTCCCCTCTGAAAGCTTTCATTTTAAAATATTCTATATTAGAAAAGAAGGGTGGCATAATTACATTTGAAAGACAAGTAGGGAGAGCAACAGCACCCTTCAGATGACCTAAGGCACTGGAGTGCACAAAAGGATATTAGGAGTTTCTTTCCTTTTGGATACCCATGCATTCAGGTAGGCAGAAACATAACATGTGGACTTCTACATCTGTTACACCACAGAACTGGGGTTTTGTTAGACAGGTTGAAGACTGTTCCATCTCTGTTCCTATCACATACATGGTGTAATAAGTATTAGATGCTGGCAGCATTGTTTATGGCTGCTGCTTTTTAAAAAAATATCCAGTATAAGGGTCCCTATATGGAACATTCCAGCAGGGTTTTTCTTAGTCATGTTGCCAGCACACTGTCTCAGGGACTCATTGTGCTGTGAGTACCACTTGTTTTCCTCCCATGCTCTTAAGTCTTTAAAAGTTCTTTCAAAATTTAAAGTGAAGCTTTACTCTGAAAAGTAATGACATAATATGGCCCCTTCTTACACAAGAAATCCACTCCCTGAGTGCATGTTCAGAGTCTCATCTGCTCATTTAAGTAACTAAAATAAATTTAACTCATTTTTATTTTTATAGTTGTAGCCCTGCAGAGTGAAAACAGCTGCAAAAAAGTACGTTGAAAATTGATCCACTTAGTGCATCCTCAGCAGAATTGTTTGTTAAATGCAAATCAGTTACCCTTTACAATCCCTTTAAGGACATGGATATTATAATATTGTGTGTCTTATAATGCCTAGGAGCCACAATAATGGATCTGTTATGCTGTACAAATATAGGACAAAAGCACAATCTCTCTACTCCCCAAAACCTTGCAATCCAAGTATAAAATAGGAAACAATGGATATAGATGCAGAACAATGAAATGAGACAATACTGGTGAGCAAGGTAGAATGTGGTTTTGGGGCACCAAATGCCTAATTGTCAAGGTTTTGTAAGTGTCATGGGAAAAGATACTTTTATGGCTTTGAACAAGAAGAATGAATTACTTGACAGATGGTTACCAGTAGTTCTTACCAAAGAAGGCAGCATGGGAGAAAGCAAGAAGGTACTTATTTCAAAATGTGACCAGTGGGCAATGAAAACTGACACCTTTGGCCAATTGGAGGTGAGAGTTAACCTTACAGTACTGAATAAGAGATGTTTCAGGTGAGGGGTAGTCCATAAGGGGCCTTCGATGTGAAGTTAAATAGCTTATGTTTGATGCAGCAGAAAAGAAAAAGTGAGCGGAGAAACACAGCCAAAGCAATTGGCTAAGAAAATAATCTTTGTAGAAGCTTTCTGACTGTGTGCTAGGAAGGCAAGATTCAATTTAGCAAAGCAAGGAAAAAGGATGTTTCAGTAATTTAGAAGGGGTGATGAGACCCTGGAAGACAGTTTTACCTGTTTGAATAAATAAGAAAAGCCTTAGTTTAGATATGTTATGCAGAAACAATTTGTACAGCTTGAGAGCCTGATTATGGACAGGGGAGATTTTAATTAGTTCAAAATGAGTCAGGTCAAATTACTGAGAGAGAGATTTCCAATTTGTCTACACAGCCATAATAGTTGAATGTATGTTTGTGGCTGAAATGATGAGACAGCGACCTGTGAAATACTCTAAAAAAGCTGGAATAGGGGATGACGAATATCCTGTGAAGGATGCACTGAAGAAGTGATTAGAGAGGCAAGAGGAGATCCCTGAGAAAACAGACTTATGGAATTCAAAAGAGGATGAGAGTCCAAGAAAATATCCAAGGTTCAAACAACATGGTTCATGTTAACATGGATAATATAACAGTCTTAAAATTTGCCTAAGAGGTCTTTAGACTTTGGTTGATTACAGTGCAAAAAAGCAGAAATCAGATTGAAGAAGCTGTAGGAGGGAATGGAAGATAAACTCCAGGCATCAAGGCTAAGTACAGACAGTCAAAAAGTCTGAGGCTGAATTGATTCAGTCTTTGCAGGTTAGTTTAAGTTGCAGGGATTGAACTGAGGAACAACTGGACAGACATTCACTTTTGATTCAGGGAATGCAGTCACATGGCTGCAGTGTCTCAGGCTAGAAACCCAGGGGTGCTAGAACACAGCTCTCTGGCACATAGCCAGCATGGGTTGTGTGTTCACTTCATGTTCCTGCTGCCCCTGAGGTCCCTGGGATTTGCAGTCCAGAATCACAACAACCGGAGTCTGCAGGGTTGTTCATCACTTCCTCTTCCTGCTTCCAGATACCTCTGGACTTTGTAGTCCACAGTCACCGCCAGCAGTAAGTTTAGCAGCTCTGTACTCAGGGAAGGGAAGTTTAACCCCCCTGCCTGGCCCCTGACCCCAGCTGGGGGTGGGGGGGCAGTCCCTTCCTTCCTCCCCCCCACCCAGCCCTTCTCTGCTGGAGCAGACAGCACAGCTCAGCCCAGGGCTGGAAAGTATACTGGGATGCTTGAGGGCTGTGATTTAACTTGAACCAGGTAGGGGTCTGGCTCAGAAGTTTCATAAACCAATTTGACCCAACTCAGTTAAATATGATACTATATTCAACCAGGTTTATCTTAAACCAATTTCAGCCATTTTGAAACTGATTTATGTGTGTTGAGCTTCTGTTTTGTTACAGGTTTAAACCAGTTTCTGATTACTTAAACCAGTTTATGTGTAACTTCTGTCTCTAGCCCAATTGTTCACAGTGCTTTCCACAAGCTCAGAAATAAGAAGGAGGTCCTCAATAGCTAGTGATAATTACTCCAAGAATGGCTACTTCAAGAATGTATTCAATTCCTTTTTTAATCTGGCTAAACTGTTAGCTCCACAACATCTTGTGGCAATGTGTTCCACACTTTAATGACACTCTGGAAAACAAAAGGTCACAAAAGAAAGTTCTAAGCTTACTACCTACTAGTTTTATTTTGTGACCTCTAGTTCTTATATTGTGTGAGAGAGAATAAATAATAAATCCTTATTTAATTTCTCTTTGCCATTTAGTATTTTGTAAACCTTTATTATGCCCCCCACCCCCAATTGTCTGTCTTCTAAACTGTATAGCTAGGGACAGAAATGACACACAAGCTAGTTTAAGTAATCAGAAACTGGTTTAAACCTGTAAAAGAACAGAATTTCAATGCACATAAACCTGTTTCAAAATGGCTGAAACTGGTTTAAAATAAACCTGGATGGATGTAGTATCAGTTTTAGCTGATTGAGGTCAAACCAGTTTATGGAACTTCTGTCCCAGACCCCTTCCTAGTTTAAGTTAAATCAGAGTCCCTCCACATGCTTTGCAGCCCTGGGCTGGGTTATGCTGTCTGCTCCAGAAAGCAAGGTTGGCCCTGCCCCTCTACTCTCTAGCCAGAGGGGGGGGGGGGGGGGGGAGGGCTAGCTGACAAGAGGGTGGGGATGGAAAACCTGTCTGGGGATGGCAGCTGGGTCTGCCTGAGGAGAAAGCCCCTGTCAGACCTTTCTCCTCTGGAGGCGTGGGGTGGGCTGAGCAGGGCAATAGCCTGAGAGGCACTGCTTCCCCCAGGCAAACCCCTGCTGGGGTCTTGGACATGCTTTAATCCTCCCTTACCCTCCTCAATGTGCTGCCCACACCCCCTCCTCTCTCCTAGATCAGGGCATGCGGTGCAGGCAGGCAACAGCCTGAAAGGGACTGCCTCCCTAGGCAAACCCTGGCTGGGGTCTGGCAGAGGCTTTAATCTCCCATTTCCAGCTCAGTTTGCTGCCCATGCCTCCAGCTCAGTTTGCTGCCCATGCCTCCTGCTCTCTGCTGGAGCAGGGCATGAGGCATGGGTGGGCAATAGCCTGAGAAGGACTGCACCCCCCAGGCAATCCCTGGCTCGGGGCTGGGAGGGGCTTTAATCTCCTGTCCCTCACTCAGTGTGCTGGCACCGAGCCCTGCAGGAACAGACTGAGAGGTGGAAGCTGCTGGCAAAGACCTGACACAACCATCGCATACATGCTGGAGAAGGAGCTAAGGGAACAGGAGAGGGACTGCTTGTGCTGGTGTGACCAAAGAAAGCAGAGAACTACATTTACAATTGGCAGAAGACCAGCAGACTCCACCCCCTCCCATCTCTGACAGAAACTGAAGCAAGCAGTTGATAAGGGGAAGGGGGCATAATTCCCTTCAGCTCCCCCAGGCCATGGGGCAGGGGGAAGAGGCTGGGGAACGGGGCTAGTCCCCTGCCACCTGTAAGCACAGAGCCAAGCTCTGCAGGACCAGACTGAGAGGTGGGAGATGTGGGCAAAGACCTGGCACAATCATCACATGTATGTGCTAGAGACAGAAGAATAGGAGAGCGTCATAGGCAGTTTGAGTTAGTGTGACCAAAGAAAGCAGAGAACTACATTTACATTATGAAGCAGAACCGATTAAAGGTGAGAGACTGGAATACCTAAGCAATAGGGGTGTGCGAAGCGGGCCCTATTCAATTCATATTCGGCCCAAATCAGGTACAGTGATTTGATTCATTGATTCAGATCACTGTCCCTGATTCAATTCAGCCAAATCCAAATCTGAAGATTCAATGCTGATTCAGAGAATCAGCGATTTGGACAGCTTTAAATGTTTTTTCTACATGCCTCGAGGTACCAGTGTGGCTTGTGAATGCTGCGATGCTGGGGCAGATGGAGCATCCCGCAGGAGTGCAGGGGGCCGTCCACATGCTCAGCAGTGAACCCGGAAGTGGACTGGAAGTACTTCCGGTTCACTCTCAGGTCCTCTGAGGAGCACATGGGGGACCTGCCCTGCGTCCCCCCAGCTTGGCAATCACCCACAGGGGAATCCCAGGTGCCCTTCCAGACACAGGAGGCACCAGTCGCCAAGCTGGGGAGGCATGGGGGTGGGCCCCAGCATGCTCCCCAGTGGACCCAGAAGTGGACCAAAAGTGCTTCTGGTCCACTTCTGGGTCTGCTGCCGAGTGCGCTGGGGAGTCCCCCGCACTCCTGTGGGACTTTCCATGTGCCCCAGGATCTCAGCATTGATGAGCAACCTATTACCTAGAGGTATGTAGGAAAAACATTTAAAGCTGTGTCTACATCTGAATCTATGAATCTTTCTGAATCAATTCAGAGGGTTCCAGTTCGGAGAGATTAAAGTGTCCTCTGATTCGATTTGGATTCAGAGATTCAGCCACCAAATTGGGCCGAATCGCTGCCAAATCTAATCAGGGACTGAAGCTTTGTACAGCCCTACAAAGGACTTTCTGAAGACCTGGCTATAAGGAGTCCAGGTTGTATGTAGCTGTATTGGTCTAGAGCCAAAAGAAATTAGACCTCATGGTAGAGGTGATATCTTTTATTAGACCAACTAGATTTTTGCAAAAAAAATTTTTAATTGCAAGCTTTCATGCACCAGCATCATTCTTCAGGCATAGGAAAAAAGATTGTAGAAGTTCTCCTAGGTAGAAATGAAAGTTCATTTTCATAGGAGAGTTAAATGTGTTGTAAAATCTCCTGTTTGGCACAGTTCATTTTATACAGGTTAGGCTCAGAGAAAAGGTGGAATAGTCTGATTACCTCAAAGTTGTTTGGTGGCAAGCAGGATATAGTCACATTTCCTTCTGGTTCTGATGGTTCATATTTCATGGAAGAGAAAAAGGATGGAATACTCTTCTGGGTAGGAATTTCTTGTATGGTGAGGTGTCTCTGGGCTCTGTGATGATACAAATTACCATGAACAAAGGCAGGAGCAAGGTCTCAGGTTTCAGGTGGTAAAACTTGCTTTCCCCTTGTAAAGTTATGAAGATTTCATTTTAAAAAATCAGCTAAAATTTAAAAAAAATAAAGCTGGCAATTAAAGATTTTTTTTTTTAATTTTTTTTTGGCAAAAATCTAGTTGGTCTAATAAACGATATCGCCTCTGCCATAAGTTTTGATTCCTTTTTGCTGTAAGGGGACACTCTGCCCTCAGGATTACATAAGACCTATGCAAGGCTTTCTCTTGTCTTTTAGGTTTATTACATTCCATGGGTGACTGGTGCCACATTGCTACTCATCCCCTTTTCCAGATCATTTATGAATATGTTAAACAGCACTGGTTCCAACACAGATCTTTGGGGAACCCAGGTGTTTACTTCTTTCCATCCCCAAAACTGACTGTTGATACTCGCTCTGTTTTTTATGTTTAAAACAATTTCTAATCCATGAATGGACTTTCCCTATAATCCCCTGACTACTTAAAATTAAGAGCCTCTTATGGGGGACCTGGTCAAAGGGTTTTTGGAAGTCCAGATATATATTATGTCAGCTGGATCACCATAATCCCTCTGCTTATTGACACCCTCAAAAGAACTCTAATAGGTTAGTGAGATGTGATTTTCCTTTGACAAAGCCATGTTGGTTTCTCCCCAGCAAGTCGTGTTCATCCATGTGCTGGACATATTTTTTCCTTTTTTTCTTTTTAATTAAACATGGTTTTGCCCTGGATTTCAGTTGAATGAAAAAGAAGGCAAGGCATGTAAATCTTTCTGATTATGTAAAAATCTCGAGCCTGGTGGGTTTCCCTGTATGTAAGTCTGGAAAGCAAGTCTTTAGCAGTAACTGTCTCTTGGCAGTAGCTGTCTCTTTAGCAGTAACAGTATCTTTTGTCTTTAGCAGTAACTGTTTCATGGTATGCATTTCCTTAGGGTAACTGGTGAGACAGGGTTATTCTTCAGCTCCCAATAATGGGTTCAAACATTCATTAATTTTATTTAAATCAAATTCCTTACCTTTCTTTAAATTATGCAGAAATGATTAACCTTCACCATATTTTCTCTCGCAGCACAATATCACTCAGCTTTTAACACAATTATTATAATCAGTAGTATCATTTTCATTACACATATTTTTAAGAAAAACACAAGGCAATGATAGTATGTATATAGCAGCTGAGTTTTAAGATTTGCAGTATTTTCCAGGAATGTTTTGATCTCAGCAATACCAGACAAATGGTGCTTTTTATTGCAAATGGCCTATCAGTGGAATAAGGGTATTATTACAGAAATGACATAAATCTATTAGGAAATTGTTGTAGTTGGATGATAATCACAGAACATTAGGACTTCAATATTAATTTTGAATCATTTAGGATAATATCGCCCTGAGCTCAGGATTTGTATACCTCTTCAGCAGATTAGAAAGAAGAGGCCCAATAACAAAATGTTGCTATTTCTGCTAAATTTAATAAATACATAAAAGTTCTTGAAGCTTCTGTATTGTGGGGTCAACCTCCCCCCCCCCCCGCCAAAAAAAAAATCCCCCCAAAACCAACAGTAACTTGGATTTCACATAGAAAATGAAAAAAGTTTCCACTGTGTAAATGGGTTTATTTTCATTAAAATTCACAAGTGTAAAATTAATTGCGTCTGTTTCCCCAAGCAGTGATAGGACAATAACATGCCCTTGTTTATGTTCCCAAAGATACAGACTAGCACCTAAATATCATTTCCCAGCTCAGTTTGAAGATGTGTACAAGATACTGAAGTTCATCCTACAAAATAATATACTTGCACAATATGGAATAGACCCATCTCGGATCAGTGTTGCAGGAGATAGTTCAGGAGGTAACTTAGCTGCTGCAGTGGCACAGGAGGTAGGTTATTTATATTTTACAGGTTTAGAGACTTTGTTCTGTTAATTTTTCTTACTGGATTATTTTAAACAAAATATGTTTTTAAAACCCACAATTATCACACACAAACTAATCAACCTCCCAGTTATCTTTCAAGTCTGGTATGTGTGAGTTGTGAATCAGGCTGGCAGTGGATAAATACAAGGCAACTATCTCAAGTCCTATGGGCAAGTGTTTTGTGTCTGAGGCTGAGCAAACTGCTTTAGCACAATTTAATTTCCCTAGAACCATAGAATCATAGAGAAGTAGGGCTAGAAGGGACCTTGAGAGGTCATCTAGTCCAACCTCCTGCCTGAGGCGACAGGTAAATCAGGAGTACCACAGTGACCAATGTCTTTATCAGCTACAAGACTGATATAATATGCACAAGAGATCCCAGAAAGATAGTCACTGTCCCTTCCCCCTCCCCGCTCCCACAGAGGAAGGCAAAACCCAACACAGTCCATATCAACCTGACCAGGGAGTAAAATTCCTTCTTGACCCCAAATCTGGTGATTGGTCTGACCCTGAGCAGAGGGGAAAGGCTCTCTAGCTGAGAACTTCTAGCTGTAAGTCCTAGAAGGAGCATTGGCATACCCCAGTCAAAATCCCCAACCTCAGTTGTAGCCAATACCCAGTGCATCTGGAGTTGGATTAAAAACAAACAAACAAAAAAGCCCCAAAAACCTGAAGCAGTGGGGGTAGGGGGAGGGAGGGGCAGGAATCGTCCCATGCAGCAATCAGCAAACCCCAAAAGCATTGGAATTCCCCATAGTAGACCATAGGCATAACTTCACCTAGATTATCCCTGACCAACTTCCAACATCCATCTTCCTTAGGCAGTTTATTCCACTGCCTCACTGTCCTAACAGTGAAGAAGTTTTTCCTGATATCTACTGTTTCTAATGCTACCACTTAATAACACAGTAGCAGTCACTGATAACCCAGGTACTTGATACCACTACATGCTCTGGTGGGCTCTCCCCCAATATGAATTTGGGGAAAGAAAAAAGATGAATTTTGAAATATAATTTGGTCATGTCACATGGCCTGTATTCAGACAAAACTCCTTTCATGTTGACTCTATTAGGAATATTATTTGAAAAAAAGCTTGCAGAATGTAATCCATTTTGTTGGTGTGTCTACATGAGATGTTTACTGCGCAGTAGATTAATTAGTTGCACAGTAAATGTCTCAGTGTCTGCACATTTGTCCCTATTAAGCTGGAGTAAACTAACAAACTCTGCAGCAGCACTGCCTGCCAGCTAGCCCCCACCCTGAAGCATCCTTATGCCCTAGCCAGCCCCTCTACAACATGTTGAGCCAGGGAAGCAGCCCTGGGCTAGCAGGATGATCCCTTAGACCCCTAACCAGCCAGGGATGCTTGACCCAGCTCAATGTGCTGTACTCCCAGGTGCATGTTCAAATGCAGTAAACTTTGGAATTTGTTGCTCCAGAGTGTATCACTCCCAGACTCATGTTCAAACGACGTGCCTGGGAACAATAAACTCTGAAGCAATCATGGGCAACTAGTGCCTCCTGAACCTGCGGGGCACCAGCAGCTGATTGCTGACCGGGGAGGGGGTGGGGGGGATGTCCCCCAGCAGCTGATTGCTGACTGGGGAGTGGTCCCCCAGCGGCCAATGGCAAACTGGAAGTGCCACCAGCACTTCTCTCAATGCCCCCACATTCTCAGGGGGGGCACCGGCCATCACCCCCCCCCCACGCCCCAGCCACCA